AATTTTCTACTTACATATTTAAATGTTGCATGTTGACTTGAACAATATTTTCTTGATCTTTAATATTTCAAATCTTCAGCCATGTTGCATCCTTGTAAGGAGTGCTTATAAGTTGTTCTCACATGTCTTGTATTTTTGGGTCTGTTTGGTTCATAAAAATTTTGGCATTTGGGGTGGATTACAAATTCTAAGATCAAAAAGTGATATTTTTTGGTTTTTTGGATTCAATAGTCGGTGTTTGTTTCAATAAAAGTTTTGGAATGTTTAATCCCTAAAATGCAAAAAGCAATCACTTTTTGGAATTTGCCAATTCCCTCTCAATTGAAGAGGTTTTGGCAAATCCTAAAATGGTTATGGTTACCCTAATTGCTATACCATTATATTTTGTTCTCTTGTGGGGAGGTAAGCTCACCAAGATAAGCATATTCACCTCTCATTCTTTTTTAAATTAAAACAAATAATAGATTACAAATTCTAAAATTTGTACTTATAACTTTGGGTTTGAACCAAACAAGAGATGACAAATTTTAGAATTTATTTTCCTATAATAACGTTGAACCAAATAAAATATTAGAAACCCCAAAGCATGTATAAAATACTCTGAATTTGAAATTCTGATGAGATTATAAATCCCAAAAATTTAGGATTTGAACCAAACAGCCTCAAATTAATCATTGATTTTGTTTACATGTCTAGTGGTGCATTCGATGTTGAACTCTGTGAGTATGTTGGTGAAGCTTATCCAAAAGGGACCTGTTCGGTTTATTATACTATGACTAAAGATGTTGAAGGACCTGGAGCTGATTTTGAGTTCATGGTCATGATTTCTGCTTCAAAACATAGTCCCCAGAACTTTTGGTGTGTAAATTCATCGACAAGCTCTTTAGTACATTCTGCTTTGGCATATAATGAACTAGAATATCCCTCTAGTAGCTTACTTCTCATTATTTGGCTGCTTCATACTTATGTTTTCCAATATCTTTTATGTGCTCGTGCTAGAATGATACCTTATTCTTCTGTTAGTATGTAGAAACAATGTACTAGTTATTTTTGTAATATCTCATGATAATTGGATGTTGGTTTCAAGCAATGGGATTTGGCGTTCAATATGGAGTATTGAGTTCAAGGATGACTTGCAAGCTGTTGAATTGAAAGGGAAATTGCAGGTGATCAACTGATATTTTTCCATGAGAACGAAACTGCAGAAATTATTGTACCCAGTAGACTGGTTGGATGAGCAAGAAGTCTGCAGTTTCCTTCTAGATGTCTAGCTGGTTTATTGCTTGTGACCCATTTCTACTAGATCTCTGAGAAATTAAAACTTATCCATGTCAGGTTGGTGCTCATTATTTTGAGAAAGGAAATGTGCAGCTGGATTCAAACAATGAGTGCAATGACTCCACCATAATTCAGGTAATTGAAGGCATTTCAATGTAAAATCATTCAATAATTAATTCATCACATATAATTGCATGTCAAGTGCAAAAATTAAAGTATCTTCAATGTGCATCTAGCTCCGAGATTAGTAAAAAGTTATAAAAAAATTTGTAAACATAAACAATAGGTTCTGTGGCAGTTTAATTTGTATATGTTCATACTTCAAAAACACGAACCACATTCTCTCTCCAATTTATCCATTTTCCCTATCCATTCAGCATAAATTTAAGACCTGTCTAGTTAAAGTAGCAACCTCATATGCTTCTTTAAGCTTTGGAAGATAAAATGAGTGAGAAACGGGGTGTGAGATGGTTTGGCCTGTGTAACAAAGGCATTTCTGATGTCATAAGGAGTAGCAAACTTAAAAGATTGGCTAGAATCACTGACATGACAGACCTTGGTCCAATCCTGCTTTCATTGATGTGAGAACTGTACATGCACACACACGCACTGACGCACATATGCACTAGGATTGCATTTCATCGACTCATTGGGCATGCCTACTTGCTGGTTGCAGTTAAAAGTTAGTGTTCACTTTATATTATGACTTGATAGTTGGCATTTTGATGGGCATTCAACTGTAGTTTGTTTCATGATATGGTTATTCGTAATTGGCATTGTCCCTTTCAGTCCTCTAAAGAGAGTGCTGTTGTTATAATATCAATGATACGCCACCATGAGGCTGGTATACGTCATCTCTTGAGGTACCAATATTTCTATAATGGCTGAAAGTAATTTGATGATCAACTTGTTGTTTGCTTGATTTTCTAACTTTTGATCCTTGTGCAGGCATCATATCTAAATTTACCTGACACCACATTCAAGGTAAATTAAAATTTAGCAAACTACAGTATGTTTTGGCAAAACTTGACTTTTTTAGACATGTGAAAACTTTAGATTTCATGAATAAACATAGCTTAGGTGCCTCCTGATCCAAATTAATGCTCTATGTAATTAACATTCACGGTGGTTGCTCCTCATGCATCCACTGAGAGACTGTAGACATTTTCATTTAACAAGAATGTATTTATTGAAGGCTGTTGCTACTGCGGATAGATGGAAAGCATACTGAAAACAATTGTTGCTTGGAGGCCTGTGCAGTTATATCAGGAGACAACTTAATTTTCATTATTTACCTCACCTCGCAATCAAACCTATTTAAACAGGGTTAAACAAAATTGACTGCTGTTTCCACACATGTCAGTTATTTTAAAGAAATCAAAAGAGATCTCCAAAAGGTTTTTCTTTCTTATGAATTGTATTTCAAAAGAAATCAAAAGAGATCTCCATTACAAGAGAGACTCTTTCAGGGGATTAGTGGGAAACGTTAAAAGTTCTGCGATGTGTGTGTTCTTGGGAAATGCCCCAATGTTTTTGGGATGTTATGTGAAATTTACCCTTTTCATTTTCTATTCCTCTTATATAGCATTATTGAGAAAGGAGGAGCCTTTTCCTCCCCCTCATTTGTCTGTCCTGTTTAGTCTAGAAATTCACTGCTCTGCTTAAAATTTTATTTTACAATCCTTCCATAGGCTTCTCTCACAAAGCAGGATCTTCGGAGGAAGCTTCCAGTAACTCAAACTCTATTCCCATGACACAACACGATGCAGTTCAGCCTAACAAGAGACACCACAAAAGAATCAGGAATTGGGAAGTAAGAATACAATCCAGCTGCTGGCGAGGCGGAGAACTTTTTTTCGTGGTGCATCTTCACCCCCAGGCTCCTTTTCCATCCAAATATAAAGATCCCTGCCTCCTGTAGCTGCATATGTACTCCAAAAGCTCCTGTCCTATGGTCAAACCAAAATATGTACAAGCCCTCCTTGAGCTTTTTGTTTCCCTGTCTTATTTGTTTGAACAGAAACGCTAGCGGGCTAACTAACATGCTCGAACTTGCTGAAGATCGCAGGGAAACTTTACTGACTTTTGATTTGAATGTTATATCACGGTAGTTGTTAGAGCAATGTGTTCTTGTAGCCTGTGGATATCTGTGGCTGCCTTCTATTCACAATTCACATGGAAATCTCCATGGCTACTATGATCTTTTTTCTAGCCAATCTGCATATTCAATAAATGAATGGAATTTTAGCCTATCAATGTATTATGTTCTTAGACTGAATATTTTTCATGTAAGGGTTTGGATTTTAGGATCCTCTTCTATTTATATCACTATTGCTCGAATCATGGCTCTTATTAACAGTGACAATTATGTTTCACGATGAAGGATATTTGAGATTCTTACATCAAGGGTTAATGGCATTAAAAAGCTGAACATTATGGTGATGTTGTTCTGGCAATGGGTTGAGTAGTTTGGCACACAGAAATCGAGTTAAGTAAGAACAAAATAAAATATGGGATGGAACGGGACACATGTGGGAATGAAATAGTGATTCTCATTCTCATATTTAGGTGAGATAAGATAATAAAGTGAGAATGACAAATTTTAAGCGGGAATCCCCATTTTCTGCCATATCATTAGGATTCGGGAATACCCATTTCCACATATAAAATGGAAATGAATTAAAAGTGAAAATAAACATTCTAGCTTCTATAAAGGTGTTGTTTTTTGTGCGTATGAATGAGAAGCAAGAATAAGCGTTATATTGCCACCTATTTTTATGTACCAAATGAGGCGTAAGGGGTTAAGGGGGTCCAACTATTCACACTCCCAAACAATAACTTTGGGGGTGTGTGAGGACTAAATTGTCCTTCTCCCAAACCAAACCAGGCCAAGTCCAAAAGGTCATTTTCGGCAATTCAACTTCTAAAGTTACTGTTTAGGAGTGGATATAGCAAACATGGGGTTAAGGAGACTTAGCTCCTTTTTAACATGCCAAACATAGAAAATCTGTACAATAATTAAAGTGAATTAACCTTCAATAATTTGTCAAACAAAAAAAATGCAAAAAGTTTAAGATAACTCCTCTTAAAATGAGTTAAGTCCACAAGGGGAGGAGTTTACTTGCACTCTTATTTAGACATATTAAGAAGTAATTTTTCTATTTTTAAATAAAATAGTCAAAATTATTACTATTTCAAGATTAAAATAAATATTACTTAATGGGTTAACAATTTAACTTTTTAGACTATCAAATAGATCAAATTGCTGCTATTTGTAAGATCCGCTTCCGGTTCCGGATTCGGATCCTTATTTAGGCAGGATCCGAACGCTTAGTCCTCTTATATAAATCCCCGAATAATTTTTCAAAACAGACTCATTCGGATTTTTATTTTTCAAAATCGACCGTTTTTTCTTTTATTTATCAAAACCGACCGGATTTTGTGATTAGCAGGTTAATCACTATCCTAAATAGTCGGGGTTGCCAACCCCGACTATTTAGGAGGGTGTTAAACCCTAATTAAAGGCCTTAATTAGGGTTTAACACCCTCCTAAATAGTCGGGGTTGGCAACCCCGACTATTTAGGATAGTGATTAATCTGCTAATCACAAAATCCGGTCGGTTTTGATAAATAAAAGAAAAAACGGTCGATTTTGAAAAATAAAAAACTAAATGGGTCGATTTTGAAAAATTGTTCTAAATCCCCTCTTCCTCGGTCCTTTGCGTAGTCAACTAGTCAACTCCTTTTTCCCTTTGAATTTCATACCGTAATTGAAATAGGGCAAGAAAAAAAAATCAAAGTATTACGGTTTGTTCCTAATTCTTCTCTCTTTTTCATCAAACCTAGGGTTTCAAAGCACAGGCGATCGGCCCTTTCTCGTCCGATTCCGACTTCGGCGTGCAATAACAACGATGGTTTGTTTCTAAAACCCTAGTTTTTTCCCCTTTCGCCTCAATAAATTAGGGTTACAGTGTAATTTAAGCTTTATAATCGATTTTTTGCAGCTTCCCCTTTCACTTCTAAAGACCGCTCAAGGGCATCCCATGGTAAATTTTTAAACTTCTTCCTTCTTTTTTCTCCTTAAAATTTCAAAATCCGTGTTTTTTTTTAATTTCATAGTTCGGTTTTTATGTTTCAGTTGGTGGAGCTGAAGAATGGGGAGACTTACAATGGGCACTTGGTGAATTGCGACACGTGGATGAACATTCATCTCCGTGAAGTTATTTGTACTTCAAAGGTGATTGCTTAATTATTTTTTTCTTTTCTCCCCCTTTTTGATGTCATATTTTGTTTGATTAGCTTGTTTTGTGCTTTGATATAGAATGTTGCTGCGATTGTAGGATGGAGATAGGTTTTGGAGGATGCCTGAGTGTTACATTCGTGGGAATACGATCAAGTACCTTCGAGTTCCTGATGAGGTTTGTATGGCTAACTTTCTTATAGTTTTCTGTTATAATTGATTTTCATCCGCTGGATTTTACTTGCATTGTACTGCAGGAGTTTAGATTTGAACTGTTTTGATGTTTAAGTTTATGATTGTATCTTTAGTTATTTGCTTATTGTGATGTTTTGAAATGAACGTTCTTTATGACAACTTGGAACTGGATCTTAATTGATCATGCCATTGTTATATGAAAGGAAAAAGGGGAAAAGCAGAGAACACATTGTTTGCAGATTCTTGTTTTGTTTTAGTCCCGATGTCTATTTTTGACATAGCTACCATGACCTGTCCTTGTCACCTCCTTTTCTTGTCATATTGGATTTACAATTTTGGGTTTTATTTTCCACTATATCGTAAAGCATGTGCATTACTATCTTTGATCAGTGGCCACTTGTAAATAGAATTATTTAATAGTAATCGTACCTGAAAAATAATTCTTAATAAGCAAACATGAAACATATGAAGGGGAAGGACATGCCTTTCTAGTCTATTTTTAATTTTCTTCATTGCCTCTTTCCCACTCACCGACATATCTTGTGTTGAGTTGTGTATTGCGTTTGACATATGTTTCATGTTCAGATTTTAACATGTTGATATAGTTATAGAGTCATGCTCAAAAAGTTACCATTGGGGATTTATTCACTGATTTGTCATGATGTTCGGGTTATTTTTGAAAATTATGGTGAATCAAGTCAATGTTAAAAGTTTGCAAAATTGATGAAATTTGATTTTTATAAGGAGATCTATGTAAAATGAATTTCATAGGCTAATATTTATCAAGGGTTCTATGTAAAATGAATTTAGTATGCTGATATTGTGCGTCAGTGCGTGTGTTGGATGCTAGTGGAAGTGTTACAATTTGGCCACTTCTTTGATCACTTTCTTTCCGAAACAACACACCATCAATGGTACTCGTACCTGCGACCTATGAAGCACGGACACGGTGACACGGACACGACACAGACACGACAAAACCCCAAAAAATAAGGACACGACGACACGACTAGATTTTTTTAATATTATTATATATATATATCAATATTGAATTAAATTCCTATTACATTTTCATATTTTTTGTTATGTAAAGTGGATATTATAAATTAGGTTCACGCAAAATTAATTACCAATTAGGTCCACGTGAGACCCTATAAATCATCTCCTTTAGCTATTTTGAACTAAATATAAATTAAATACCGAGATAGAACTTTTTCAATACCTCCAAAATAAATTAGAGGAACCGCACAACTTCCCAGATATACGAAAACCAACGCACAGTAATAGCCCCAGAGTTCCTGAGCAAAACTTCAACCTTTATTAATTACACATTACACAAATCTACGAAAATCCAACCTCGCACTGGGTACTTGTCCCAGCCTCTCTGGCTCCAGCTCATCAACCTTTATTAATTACACATTACACAAATCTATAAAAATTCAACTCAAAGCATCCAGATCTTGCCACTTGTCCACCTTCATTTGTCCTCAAAGAGTACTAAAGTCCCAACGCAAAGCCCACTTGTTTATAAAACACAAAGTCCACCAAATATACAAAGCTCCATTTAATCCCCACTTTCAAGTCTGCTCTCCCTCCTGAAAAAAAACCCAGGCGAAGAAGAAAAAAAAAGCAAAATAAATCGAAAAAGAGAAGCAAAGATCTGAAGGTCACCGTCGGCTCCATGGATTCCCCGATCTATGGCGGCGCTAAATCTCTCCTCATCGTTGCGGCCATCTTCTTCGTCTCCGCCACGTCAGCATTGTTCCAAGGTAGGCCTCACCACCGTCATCCGCCCCGACGACGTCGTTAGGCCCGACGGCGTCATCCACGGCATCGAGCGGATGCTGATCCCTAGAGCCGATCTCGAGAGAGAGACGAAGGGATTGTGGCTGGTGGCGTCGCGCCGTCGGGACCTTGGTAAGTGAAGAAATTAGGGTTTGGGTTTGGGTTTTGGGTTTTTCTTTTTTGTTCGCGAATCTTAGCCGTGTCAGGAATGAGTCGGGGGCGTGTCGGGGCGTTGACCTACGTTGGTGGCGTTGACCGCGTGTCGGACCGCGTCCAACGCGCGACAGACACGGACTCGGGGCCCAGTTTCGCGTGTCGTTGCTTCATAGCCTGCGGCTGTAAGAGGAGTCATTACTATGTGGAAAAGATGTCATTTTGTGTATAAGAGACTACATCTTTTTTTCATGAATTTATTTTTTCAAACTAACAAAGTACTCGTATGATTGAAATATGATGAAAGAAATGGTAACTTGCATGCAAAAGAAGCCATATCTTTTGCTTTTTTTTGGGTGATTACATAATTAGCCAAATGTCAGACATATTGTTTGATATTAGTGTCCAGCGAGTTTGCTTGGAACTTTGAACTCAATCTGGAAATTGGCTAGTATGGACATGAGCTGGAACACAAGCCCAATCCCCAACCCACCCTGCCTGAACTTGCCTAGAATTCATAGATCAATATATAGCCATGTGAATTTGTGTGCATATCTGTTGTCATAGCAGCAGTCTTCTTCTCTATTGTAAAAATCTATTTAAATAAAAAATCTTTAAAAATTAAAATAGTAAGTATTACTGTATTAGTATTAAGTATCTCTAGGTTACATTAAAGTTATAAATGGTGCTGAGTATACCTTTCAGAGGTTACATAAATTATTTGAGCTTTACTCATGAAATTAGCACATGCTTTGGCAAATGTATTATTATTTTCTATCTTGAGAAGTGGTAGATTCTTTTGATTTAATACTTGAAAGCGGTTATTCCATTAAGGTTGAAGCACCACTTGCCCGACCTGGCTGACCTGCTGAAAACAAAAAAGCCCGACCAAAAGACCAAAGTGGGCGGGTTTTAAACCTCTCAAAATCCTGCTAAAAAATTTGGATCTCTGTACTAAAAGGAGATCCAAAACACCCAGTTTAACCAATTGACACCCCTATTGGTTGATTATTATAAAGGACATGCTCCTAATATTAACAACATGGATTTCTTTCACCCGATCACTCTTCAGAAATACCAGAGGAGATTTTCCTCAATCTTTTTTAGGATATAAACCTTCTTTAATTGGGACCTAAGCCATGCATGCCCAATCCGTGATTTATTAATAAACACAAAGGATACTCATAAATAAGAAAGTCAAGATTAAGAATCTCTTCAAAGACAATTCTAATTGCTCTCTTCCTAATTTTATCGGCATTGTGATGGTAAAATTGTGCTCAAGGTCACCGATAATTGATACTATCTAAAATTCAAGTGGTGCAATTGCAAAAGTGATGGTGGGAAAGCTTATAACATTTTATTATTGATAGCCTGGGTGACTGACATCACTGACATAACAGAGGCCGCTGAGAAAGTGGAGCAGCAGGCGCTAGAAAAAAGAAGGGTTACGGGGTAGTTAGAAATTGTTCTTATTAGGGAGATTATAGGAGCTATAGTGGAAGGTGCATTAGTCTTGATGAGAGGTAAAATAAATAAACACATTTTTGCAACATAGGATTTGCTAGTTCACCAGCTAGAGTGATTGTACAACACAACAGCTCAGGACAAAGAACCCCGAGAGAAGCATATGTCACTGTGATTTGCGTCTCTAATAAAATTGGTATAACAAAAGACTTGTTAACAATTTTGAAGTCATTCATTGCCTAGAAAAAGGTGCCAAGGATATTGCCTTTAAAAGTATGGCTTCCGCTCAAGTCAAAAGTAAACGAGTAAGTGGGGGAAAAAATAGGTAAGAGAGTCTTGCAAAAAATACCGATATGGTAATTTGACCCTTGTAAAATGATTAAATTTCAATAAGATTAGTATATTTCTGTTTGATGTTCCTTTGTTGATGATAATTGATATTTTGTTGACTCTTAAGCGAATATTTCTTTTTTAAAATGAGTAATAATGGATAATAGATTCTTGAGTTTATTAGAAATCATGGATCACCTTGGAAAGCATGGATCCTCGTAATAAAACCCTCTCCAGTAGACTGAATATTGATGGGATCAATATACGAAGCTAAATTATCTAACTTAATTAGATGCTTCTATCTGCACCTGGTTAAGAGAGACGATTTGGATCCCAGAAATTCAAGGGATCTTGATTTGTGAAAGTTCTGTTGTTAAATGCCCATGTTTCTTCTTATTGGAACACTACTATACTCCGGCCATAATTTCCACGGCTACTTAAACTGCATAGTTTCTGGTTTTCTTAAAACTATATATGCTCCTGTATTGTGCTTTTGTCTGATCTTGCAGTCAGTATATCATTGTTAATCTATTTGCATGCTTTAATGAACATGTCTTTACTGAATAGTTCTAGTTGCAGGTTCATTGAGCTTTACTTTCCATTTCAATTTCTACTTCCTCTTCTCATATTCTTGCTTTTGGGGTTGCTATTGCAGGTGATTGACAAGGTTCAAGAAGAAGCTAAGAACCGTACAGGTAATCGCGGATTTTTTACATAACAAACTTACATACATTTAGAAGGTTTTGTATCTGAAAATTTTGTTCCTACTCAATGATTTATTTATGACAATATTAAGTCTACCATTTTAGGTTGAATTTGTAAATGTTTACCTAAAAGCTCAACAATGAGTGAAACTATGTAATTACATTCCTAGCGTCACGTTTGACATATAATTACATTTCTAAAACATAAAAAGGTGAGAAAATTAAATCCATTCCAACCTTTGAAACTATACAATCTATATAATTCTGTGTCTGTGCACTTTTAGATGCACGGGTTGTGTGATGCATGTAATCTGTGGATTGCCTACTAGGGTAGCCTATGACGTACTTTGATAGTTGGGAACAAAAAAGCTGTTTCATTGTGGGGTACCAACATCATTCCAAAAGAGTCTTCTGGATATTGATAGCAATCCCTTTGGAGTCATTTGTGCAGATAGGAAACCACCTGGTGTGGGTCGGGGAAGGGGAAGAGGCAGAGAAGATGGAGGTGGGA